CTTCTAGTGCTTCCCGTAAAAATAGTGCTTTTGCCCCCCAATTTTTTCCGATGATCTGCCCCTTGATGTAAAATTACAATTTTCTCTCTCTCGATCTCTCTCATTTGTGAGAGAATTCACGATGTAAACAAAAGTTTTCTAAAATAAAAATAAACAAATTTGCAAAGTGGTTTCTTTCTAGTTTTTCGTCAAAAATATTTTTCTCTTTATTAAAAAAAGAATTCTTCCGCAAGAAGAAAATCCAAAGCTAAAAATAGATTTATAAAAAATCATTATTCTCTGTGTGTGAAAAGGAAAATCTCGTGAATTCTTAAAAGTGATTGTAAAAAAGAAAAATTAAAACATGAAACAAAGTTTATTTTCATTCATTTCGTGATATTCAATGTGAGTGAATGTAAGATTATTGTGGGATTTTTTATTGTTAAATAGAGTAATTGTTTGAAGATGGAAGTTAGATCAGAAATTTACGATGAAACTGATTTTGGAAGTGTTGCTATCAGCAGTGGAAGTGAGTTCATTAACTAAATCTTATCAGAATGCAAACTCCATCGTATAAATTCATTTCCAGATGTAATTTCCAAATTCCGATTCAATTTACAATCAAATCAGGAGGATGTCATGAAGCAACTGCAACATGATGACGATTCGGATGTGATTGTGCCAAGAAGGAAGAACGAGTTCATTGAAATCGGTAAGCGCACGGGAAATTAAACGACCGTGACTCTCAATGACGAGAGAAGTTTTTATTTTCTTCTGTAGAGCACAAAAAGTCGACAGTGTTGTCAGAAGTTGGCCTTCAAGTGTGGCGTGGCGCTTTTCTTCTCAATGACTTCATTTTAAGTAACCGGGATTTATTTTCGAATAAAAACATTCTTGAACTTGGAAGTGGCGTCGGATTGACTAGCATTTTAGCTAGTGTTTATGCAAAGAAAGTCATTTGTACGGGTGAGTATCGATTAAATGATTAAATATGCTTAAAATTAATAATTATCTTGTTAGATATCAACATAAGCGGGATTTTAGATTTAATTAGAAGAAATGTTGAGTTGAATAAAAGTTTTCAAAGATACCAGAACAACATTGATGTACTGGAATTGGATTTCCTTTCAAAAAGCTTTTCTGTGAAACTCGAAAAAGAATTGAAAAGTCTTGAAATTGTTTTAGCTGCTGATGGTGAATATTTTGATCATTTACATTGTGAAATGAAGGTTTATTAACATTTTGATATCTTCCAGTAATTTATGATGACGATATCACCGATGGACTTATTAAAACAATTATTAAACTGTTTAAAATGTCACCAAAGTTATCGGAATTGTACATGGCATTGGAAAAGCGTTATGTGTTCGTCGAGTCTGTCTGCGCCCCAATGTATGAACATTTCTTAAAGGTTGGAAACTAAATCAAATTTGTATCTCAAAATATGTCAACAAAATATTTTCTTTTTACTTCACAGAATTTCCAACAAGCTTCAAGTGGAGTGCTAAAATTTTCAGAAATATCAACTCAATTTCCACAATATTTTGACTACGATAGATGTAAAGAGCTCGTACTGTTAAAAGTTCAAAGGCTTTGAACCCCCAAATAAATTAATCTTGAACATATTTTTCTTGCTTTTTAATGTCTTCGCTCACTTTCATTCTGTTCAGTGACGTCTTGGCTAGGTTTTTGAACTCTCTTGACGTTTTCAACATTGAAAATATCATCGTGAGCGAGTATAAAGTTCTAAGGCTTCATTGACGCTCAATTTTTAAAAAGAATAACATTTCATTACTTGTATCTCATTCAGTGTTCAACCTCAGACGATTACACAAATTATTCAGAGATAACTTCAAAAGCATCATCATTAACTAAGTAAACTGATAAGAGAATATCATTTTAAAGCGAGTTGTAAAGTATTTCAGAGATTCAAGTTTAAATTTATTACAGAATTTGAGAAAAGTTTTATTAATAATATGGAAAAATACTCCACGAAAGATGTTAATGGAGCAACAACTTCAAACTTAAACATTTCAATTGTTGGTGCAGGTCTGGTAAGATTTGAACTTCATTCACTCTAAATTTCATTTTTCATCACAAATCTCATCTTGAAAACTGACTTAATCATGAAGTCTTCATGAGTTGTGATGATAATGATTGAAATTTAAAAGAATGTGTGATGATTTCAGGTCGGTTCGCTAGCAGCGATTCATTTAGGAAAACGAGGGCATAAAATTAAGTTGTATGAGTACCGCGAAGGTAGATATTGATTAAAATTTGTTGAATAATCTCAAACTTAATGAATCACAATTGACAGACATAAGAACAGCTGAACTTGTTATTGGAAGAAGTATCAACTTAGCTTTGTCAGCTCGTGGAAGAAAAGCTTTGGCGGAAGTCGGTCTGGAAGACAAGCTTCTTGAACATGGAATCCCAATGTATGCTCGAATGATACACAATCTCGATGAAAGCCACAAAATCATTCCATATGACAATAAAAGTTCTCAAGCAATTTATTCAGTCGGACGTAAATATTTGAATGAAATTCTACTCAATGGTAAGAGGACTCACAACTGCTGTCGTATTTATGTTGATAAAGTATCGAATTTCAGCCGCTGAAAAGTATCCCAACATCGAACTGAAGATTAACAGGAAATTGTCAGGTGGTCAAGTGTCGAATGGTGAAATGATTTTCACAGAGTAAGTTGAAGAATTTCTCGAAAATATTTCAGAAAATAATTTTAAATTTATTATCAGCACGTTTACAAAAGAAGAAGAAAAAGTTTCATCGGATTTAATTGTGGGATGTGACGGAGCATTTAGTAGTGTACGACGTGAAATGTTGAAGAAGCCAGGATTCAATTACAGTCAAACTTACATCGAACATGGCTATCTGGAACTTTGCATTCCACCTGCGAAGGATGGTGGAGTATGAAAGAAAAAAGAAATTTAATTAACAAACCTTCAATTTTCATTCTTTCTCAGTTTAAAATGCCGGAAAATTATCTTCACATTTGGCCACGGGGAAAATTCATGATGATTGCATTGCCGAATCAAGATCGAACATGGACAGTCACACTTTTCATGCCTTTCGAAAATTTTGATGCTATTAAAAGTTCATCAGATCTTTTAAGCTTCTTCAATATTTACTTTGCTGACTCGATTCCACTAATCGGTGAAGAGCGGTTGATTAAAGATTTCTTTAAGACACCGGCTCAACATTTGGTAGCTATCAAGTGTCGCCCTTATCACATCTCTTCGAAAGTTTTGCTTATCGGCGACGCGGGTCATGCTGTTGTGCCTTTTTATGGCCAGGGAATGAATGCCGGTAAGTATTTTTAGCTTGAATAATCTTCAGATTTAAATAAATTTTCGATAAGACAATTTTTGGGGAAATCCAAAAACGAAATTAATTTGTGCTGATCTTTTAAAGGCTTTGAAGACTGCTCGATACTTACCGAACTTTTCACTCAATACGACAGTAATTTGGAGAAAATTTTACAAGAGTTTAGTGATCAGAGATGGGAAGATGCACATGCAATATCTGACTTGGCGATGTATAATTACGTTGAGATGAGAGATCTTGTTAACAAACGATGTAAGTTTCAGTGGTTCTCAAACCTTTTCTACTTTGGTTCTCAAACTTTTTACATTCTCAGCTTATTTGATGCGCAAAGCATTCGACGACTTTCTTTTCTGGTTGATGCCCAACTTTTGGGTGCCTTTGTACAATTCAGTGTCATTCAGTCACATGCCCTATAAGAAATGCGTGGATAATCGAGCATGGCAAGATAAAATGTTAAGCAAAGTGTTCAAGTTTGTCGGCTTTCTCGTTTTATGCGGTGCTGGTGTTGGAATTTATTCCTTCACTCGTAGACTTAACATCAACACGGAAATAATCGAATGGATTGAAAAACTTAAGTTTAATTAATAAAACATCTTAATAGCACTTGAGCTTTATTTTGTACAAAAATATTCAATATAGACATCTGAGTAGTTGTTTTCAACATAAAAGCGTAAAAAATATGGAATAAAATAAATATTTCTCAAACAATACTATGACGAGGTTTCGCTTTGTGTCTTTCAGGTTCCCAATTGTTTAAAATGATGGCTTTCTTCAGACGTCTCCAGAACACATTACGAAGTTCGGGTTTGTTTTCATTCGGCCACATGATGTAAGTTTTTGTTCTCATCAGAAAGGTGAGAGTTCGAGGACGTCTTGATTTAGGAATGTCTTGAAGAAGCACAAGAATTAACTGTTCACGTCTTGTTTCAATAAGTCTGTTAAGGAATAAAATGTGTAAGCAAATTTGAAATAAGATTTATTTAATCACTCACCTATGCTGTGCTAAATGCATCTCGAATGAACACCAATTGGACTTTAGAAAAGATTCTGATATCACAAGTAATAAACATCGTGATTGATCCATTGAATGAATGATATTTTCAAGGATGCTTAATCCAACTTGAAAATCACGTTCATGAAGGCAGATTTTGATCTCGGCACGTCTCTCAAGATTTGGAATTAATTCATCAAGCACCCAATTTCGATCTTTATCAGAATATGACACAAACACGTCATAGTTGTAAGGATCATCTTTGTTATTGGATTTCCTTCGATTCCTCAGCATTAAAGACTTTTTGTCATCTTTATCAAGACTTAATATTAAAGTGTTTTTAAAAATTGCCAGGAAATATTTTATGTCGCGACGTTTCCAATACCAAAGAATTGCAATGATGAAAGTTGGAATTCCAACACTCAGATAAATGACCAGCAAAACTTTTGGTTCTTTATTGAAGATTTTTAAATCATCATCGTCGTCATCATCTTCCTTTCCTTCGTTGTCATTATCATCAGGAGATTTATCATGATCTGTGTAGTTGGAGGTGGTTGGAATTAATGTCGATGATATTGGAGGTAGCGCTTCACTATAAACACATGGCGTGATGTCATTAAAAATAACTTTCGCTTTTGATGTTCCGTTCGATTGAATGCAATGATAGTCACTTGAATCATAATCCATTAACAAGAAATCAAAGTTCATTGAGGAATTCGAATTTTTAGATTCTCGTTTCAAGTCATAACAAATATCTGATGATGTTGCGAGGATGTTAACAAAATTTTGTAGACCTTCATAAGTCGTTGTCTGTTCTTCACTTGATCTTCTGAATATGTTTTTATAACTTTCATCGACATATTTAATGTAGTTATGATATTCCCTGAGAAATACTTCGTAATGATATTTTGGGTCATAAAACTTTTCCAAGTCAAGTGATCGTCTCTTTCTGCTTTTATTCTCGCAGTAACTAATCAAAGCATTGAATGCCGCACGATCAATAAAATCTCTCAACGAACAATCGCAAACAAAATTATTCGCTCCAATCGCCAAAAATCGAATATGACCAAAGTCAGCCATCATTTCCGGTGTAATCAAATTGATGTTGTTGTGACGTAAATTCATAATTTTCAACGATTTTGTTCCTTGAAAGACTCTTTCATACCAGTTGCTGATGTGGTTCATATACAAGTCGAGAATTTCCAAGTCTTCATAGTTTATAAAGTGCGACAAGTGAATTTCATTGATGTTGTTATTGCCTATAAATGTTATTAAAAATGATTTGCGTTTTAAAAAGCATTAAAAGTCTTACCAAGATCAAGCATTCGAAGTTTCTTTAAATTTATAAACGGCAGAGGCGACTTTATATTCGCATTTCTGATTACCAAAATTTCCAATTTGGGTTCGAGACCACCAAACCAGGTTTCGTTGAGACTTGGAGTCAGTGTTGGATTCCCTGAGAGATCTAAAACTTTCAAATTTGTCGATTGAAACATGTTACCGACGATTAATGGTATTTCAGTGTAACATAACGAGAGCTGTTCAACTTTTTCTCCTAACCCAGCTAAACTTCTGACACTTTCCATCCGAAGCTTCGTGTGCGATAAATCGAGAAAAATTAATTTCTCAAGATTTTTAAACACATTTTCATGCAGCAACAATCCACTTTCGAAATAATAAGAAAACGGATCTTGATTGTATGGCGATATTGGTTGTATCTCATTATTATAACTCAAATCCAAATGTCTTAAACGATCTAATGACGAAAATGTTTCCGGTGAAATGCTCGCAAGATTATTGTTTGATAGAAAAAGTTTCTCCAAATTGTGTAAGTTGACAAAAAGATCTTCTTCAAGTTCATATAAACTGCAATTTCTTAAATCGAGTTCTTTTAAATTATTCATCAATGGAAATGCTGTCCAATACTCTATTAAAAGTTATGAAACATTAAAACAGAATTTTTTATATGAAAGTTAAACTCACGAAATGTTTTATTATGTTCAGTGAACAAATTTTGGAAATTGTTATTGGCAAGCGATAAATATTGAAGGGAAGCATTGACTAATTGAAAGACTTCAAACGGCAGTTGACTGAGTCGGTTATTCGCAAGACTCAAAAAATTTATTACCTGATAAGAAAGGAAGGAACATGTTCGGTTATCAATTACGGAAGTGTAACTAGTAGCTAATTATTACATCATTTGGATTGTCAGTTGTCATCTGTGAAATGTGATTGACTATCGCACTTTCTGAATTGAAGTTCAAGGACAAGTCAGCAAATCCTGACGAATTTCCAGTACGATTTGAACCTGGTAATCTTAACGAACCATCTTCATTCACCCACCACGACAAATAATATTCCGATCTTGACAAAATACATTCCGAGGATCGCGGAAATGAATTCGTAGTGCTGATAATATTTTCACTTCCATAATTGATTACTCTATCAGCTTGCCGCTTATATCTTGCTGACGGAGGGAATTCTCTCGTCTTATCACTCTTATCTAAATTGAATTTATCATTATCATTAACCGTCACAAATTGTGGGCGGCTTATAACTTTGTCATCGTTTATCAATGACGATTTTAGTAAACTTGACGATGGTGGTACTTGATTGTTCGTGCTGCTACCAGTAGACACTTCACATTGCACTGAATGATTTTTTGTGATGGCAAGAACGAGAATACATTTGAAGACACTTCTGTAAAACAACATTCCTCTGACTTTTTCCTCGAGGATTTCATGTCTTTTCTTACTAATCTTCACAACGGAAGTTTAAGATTACGACCACTCCTTAATTAACAATCATTCTTATTTTGTGTTTTTTAATATTCACAATTTATTTTACATCAATTTGAATCAATTTGAGACTGTTTCAAGATATTCTTCAACTCTCTATTTTTGATCAAAGTTCACAAGAATTTTCTTAACACTTCTTTGAAACATCCGCACAAGATCAAATTCAGCAAACAACTAAAAATGTTCAATTTTTAAAACAATGAAAAATCGCAACGATTTAATCATTTACTTACTTACTTTTATCATGAAAAGAAGAGAAGTTGACGTTGATAAGGACACTAAAACAGTTGAAGGTTGCTTTTTGGTATTGCGTCAAGTTATCAGCGGTGATAGAAGAATACATCGATCAAAAATGTGACTTAAGTAAGTTAAAATTCAGACGAAGAAAAAGAAAAAAGAATCTTAAACTATAGCAAAATTTGTTGTTTTAGAAAATATAGAAGAAGTAAACTATTTTTAATCTCTTGATAAACAAATATTTATGGAACTTACGACGAAAATGTAATTAAATAAATAAATGTAATTGAAAACACGCGACCTTATCTTATCAGTCATTTGCGTATGACTGTGGAGAAACTTATTAAAAACAGGAATTAAAGGATTCGAAAGCTGATACGTATCGTCTTAAAAGATGAAGTGTCTTGATTTATTTTTAGCAGACATTCACTCTTGAAGCTTCATTAAATTACGAAATTCATTTATGGTCGATTGTTCATCTCACTTTTGGTTCTTCAGCGACATCGATTATTGAATTACATTTATAAATATTTAAATAACTTTTGAAAGAGAGAATAATTCCATGATCCAAGTTGCATTCTTATATGTAGATAACGAATGTCTTTCTTCCGATGAAGTCAAATCCCTTGAAGAATCTCACGATAAATTGGGATTAAAATGGTTCAACCGTTGAACATACAAAATCTCGATTTTATTCTTATTAATCAACGAGATCTTTGAAGTTTATGGGAATCGAATGAAGTGAAAGATCCACGAAGAAATAAATTCATAGACGATGATCAATTAAGATGAACAAGTCAATAAGTCAAATTCCACTCACCTTCGACCTTTTCTTTCATTACAACGAGACTTAGAATCGTTCGACACATCATGTGATTAAGATAAGAATAAAGGAAAACTTTCCATAGTTTCCTCGACATTTTCAATCATTTAAATAATCTCCACAAACTTTAATGACAACACAAAACGTTTCACGATATCAAACAAATTTTTATTCCAATTTTTAACGACGATTCAACTACAACTAACAGAAATAATGTCAACGACAGCGACTTCTAAGCTTTCATTCAATGATTAATTTAACATTGTCAGCATTTTTCACGTATTTATCTTTATGATCGTTGAATAATTTTGCAAGCGCTTCCATGTATTTTCCGTGAATATCATCAATTTCTTCATGAGTGGGGTTTGAATTTTTAAGGACTTCGATGGGCGCACCAACGACTGTCGTTATTGGACGACGATAAGGAAGGAATCCAAAAGATCTTTCAGAGAAAAATCCTCGTCCATAGAAGATGACCGGTGCAATTCCAGTGACTTTCTTCACAAAGTCTTGGAATTTACGAAGTTTTGTGCCAGGCTCGTTGGATGGTTGTTTTAAGATGTCAATTTCTCCAAATGAGAAAACAGGGACGAGAGAAGCTCCTGATTGAATTGCAATTTTTACAAATCCTTTTCGTTTTTTAAGGACAAGTCGATAATCGCCCGGTCGGGCATTTAATGCTTCTTGTGCTCCACCGACAATCAAAACAATCTAAACGAGGGAATTTTAATTTTAAATTAACAATAAAAAGAAATTCAAACTAACTGCATTTGACGTGTAGCCGTCATAGTTACAAACTGCATGTTTGTTATTTGACTTTGAAAGTCCATTCATGATGCTTTTATAATTAACTGACATCATTCCCCATGCTAGAACTATTTCTCGGTAAAACGGAATGAAAAAGTGATAATTTAAAGTGCAGACTTTCGAGCGTATGCCTGGAAAAAGTTTACGGAAATTTGTGGTGCTGGTACAGAAATTGCAGAACACTCCGACGCTGCAACAAAGTAAAAATCAATTAAGATTAAATAATTGCTTAATGTCGTTAAATTACGTCGTGTTTCAGTGACACATGAGAAATATTTTAAATGTCTCAGAAAGATTATTATTGAAGTTCATGAAAGTTCAATTTAAAGATTAATTGAAGTTTTTTTTCCTTGAAAAGAAATTGATAAGAAATAAAGTTTTGAAACTTACCTGATAACTCCATGTGGAAAGACAGCAAACAAATAATTTTTTGTGGGTGGTAAATCGACAGTTTTAACGATTGAAACAGGAAAGAAATTTGTGAAATAATGAAACCATCTCCATGTTCTGATACTTTCATATCTGTCAAAATTATTGATGACTTAAAGTTCGTAATTTCAATTCAATAATTCACTTTTACCCTTGACCACGTCCACCATTTTCTGGCGCTTTTCTATCAACGTACATGTGAGTTGCATACCAAATACAAATCATTTTTCCAATAACTCCACCTTTAAGCTGAATAATTTCTCTGATTAGTTCACAAATTTTCATTAAAACTTCACAAAGTTGAACTTACGAATAAGAAAAAGTATAAAATAATACAAGAAAGTTCCCAATACAAGACCATGTTGGACCAGATAAATGTGCTGAAAACTTCAAGCCCACTCTTGATAGATTCCTTAAATTCTGGTTTGTATAGCAAAGCGATGACATTCTTCTTAAGTTCATCAGCTAATTTAACGTGTTTGGAATACCACGTTGATGTTTTTTCTAACATGATTTGCAAGTTTAACACTAATAAGTTTCAACTTAATATATTTAACAATAACGAAATTTCAATTAACTTTTCCTTCGCACTTTGCACGAGGCTTTCACAAATAAAAACTTAGAGAACTGACATTAACAACAGTTAATAAAGAAATGAAATTGTTTTCGAAAATAGAAACGAATCTTCACAACAATTAAACGCTGAGAGGCTGTTTGAGAGTTGAGTCTTATCAGTAACATTATTGGAAATTTAATCTCTAAACTTCTCATTCATGATGTTTGATAGGAGAAAGATGAGTTGAGTGTGCAAAGTTGAGAATTCAATGACAATCAATGATGAGTTTCCCTTTGCAACTCTCCTGAGAATATTTTCATGAATTTTGAATCTGAATCTTTAAATATTTCAATAAACAAACAAGCGTGTGAAACATAAAATTGTGTCAAGAGTTTGCGAGTACAATTTAAACAGATTCAAGAATGAAGTCATATTCAGAGTCATAAAAACCACAAGAAAAAGATTCAAGTTCAAGCAAATCTTATCTGAAAAGCTCAAGTGTCTCGACTTAAAAGATAACTTAATTTAATTAAATCATTTTTGGAAACTTTTATCAGCGATAAGATATTTTTAAACTTTTTTGTTTTATTTTTTACTTCCATTTCAATGAAACAATAAAAAAATTCACAGAAATTAGAAGTTCAGTCAATCATTCAATTATCAAATGCATTTTCTCCGGATTCTTCAGATATTTATGTTTGTGATCTTCGAATAGTTTAACTAATGCATTGACGAATTTCTCATGCAACTCATCGATTTCTTGACTTGATGGATTTGAATTTTTCACAGGTTCGATTGGAGCTCCAATGACAGTGAAAATTGGTCGTCGTCGTGGAGTCAAGCCAAATGAATATTGAAGAAAGCCTCGACCGAAAAATATTATTGGCGCTATTCCCGTATGCTTCTTTACAAAGTCTTGAAATTTACGGAATTTCGTTCCAGGTTCATTTGAAACTTGATCGTAAACTTCAACTTCATTGAAGGAAAATATTGGAACAATCGGAGCTCCAGTGACGATTGAAATTTTGATGAAACCTTTTCTATTCTTGAGTACCAGCTTGTAAATTCCTGGACGTGCATTAAGTGATTCTCTTGCTCCACCAACAACTAACACAGGCTGGAATTCAAGGAAATTTTATCAGAAATTCTGTCACTTTAAAATTGATGAACTTACAGCATTCGAAGTGTAACCATCTGCATTACATGGCGCGTCTTTACTATTTGGTTGTGTCAAAGCTATCTTAATGGCTGAACTTTTAGCTGACATCATTCCCCATCCCAATCCAATTTCACGGAAAATTGGAACAAAAAAATGATAATTTAATGTGCAAAGTTTCGTTCGAATCCCTGGAAAGAGTTCACCAAAATTTGTTGTTGATGTCACGAAATGTCCAAATATCCCGCAGCTGGAATCATAAAATCATTTTATCAGTACATTGAATTGATTTGAGATTAAATGTTTGTGGTGGAAGTTAAAAATGTTTAAATTATAAACAACTGATGTGAATCAGACATGGAAATGAAAACAAAACGTTTGGTTAAACCATGCTGTCTTCAGTGATAAGATAACGAAACGATTAACATCTAAATACCAAGAAAAATGTTTCTCTCTTGATTTTAATTTTCGTTCAACTCAATTCGTCTCATTTCTGATCTCACTGACTGACCTCAAGCCTTTATTTTTAGATGATTTTCTAAAAATATGTTTCATTCACCTTATCACACCATGAGGGAAACATGCAAAGATGTAATTTTTTGTTGCCGGAATGTCAACAGTCTTGACAAGTGTGAGAGGGAAATATTCAGTAAAACGCTTCCAAATGAACCAACCACGAAGAAACTCGTAACTATAAATTAATTCTGTGATTAAAATACAACACTTTGATTCAATATTCTAAGATTTGTCACCCTTGACCTCTACTGCAATCTTCATCCGCCTATTAACATTAATTCATATTTTAAAATCATTTCAAACTTTTCTAATGAATCTTTTGTCACCTTTCTGTCGATGTAAATGAAAATCAAATAAAGGATGCAAAGTCCTTTTCCGATTGTTCCACCATAATACTGTCACGACAAAACATCATTATTCAATTAATCTCATCAAATAACCGATAAAACTTACAAAAATCGATGAGAAAACAATTACACAAAACAATTCAATAAAAAGGATAATAACGATGAAACAGAAAGCGGAAAAGACTTCGAATCGTCTCTTCCACGACACTCCGAACCACGGCGTCCACTTTATTTCCATTTCCTAAGATGCTAATGATCACTCAATTCTACAATATTTGAAGTTCTTTTTTTATTTTTTAAAGGAGATTATTCCTAAATTATTGACAACCTTCTGACAGCAAAACGAACACTGAATTGAGAATAATTTTTGTCTCACCGTGAGAAACTTCAACTCCATGATAGCAAATAAAAAATGAGAATTTTTCGTTAGATTAGCCAAGCAATGTGTTGGTGGAACATAGAAAATCGATTCAACTTTTCTTATCAGACATATCAGTGAAAATTTTGTTTTGTCGCTTGATTATAAATTACAAAAATTGACATTCGAGAATGTTTGATATGAGAAAGTTTGTTTCTATTTAGAAAGCGATTAAAAATAATTTTTCCCATGCTTATGTGGATAATGTGAGTCGACATAAAATATTTATGAGAAGACGAAATAATCTCTGATGTCATTTGTAGGCAACATAGAACGACGTACGAGTCCAAGTTCCAAATGGGAAGATTAAGTAATCTTTGACCCAGCACTTCTTCTCGATATTTATGTTGCACCTTCCAAGAACATTTAAGTTGAAAATTTCAAGAAATCACGACGAACTTTCATGAAACAACATTTTAGATTCACGCAAAAATAAATACTAAATATCCAAGTTGCTAATAAATTATGAAGAATCTCGCGTGCCAAAAATCTCTCCTCTCAATGATCTTTTTCTTTAAAAATAGATTAGAAAATATTAATGACTGTTATACATATTTACATAAAGTATTTAAAAGTTTCTTTCACGATCATGTTACTTTCTTTCATAACTTGTTGTGTAATCACTGTAATGTAGAAGAAAATTAAATAAAATGAGATTAATCGGATAGTTTACTGACGTTCCCTAGCATCAAAAACAAAGCCTCCAAAAATATTATTAATTAAGATGTTATTCATAAATTACAATGAAGTATCGTATATCGATACATATCTTGACAATACAATACAATTGAACACGTGCAACTATCCCAAAATGATGTTTTGGGACCATTGAACATTTGCAACATTTCTTTCATTACAATTCAAAATGCTGAACGATCCAAATTCAAAATTTCAAACAAGTCGAAATATTTTTCATTCTTTTTATTATATTTGTTTCATTTTAAATAAATGTAATTAACATATTTGTTTTGTTGATCTATTTCAACATTATAATATAGTCGTAATACAGAATTTTCTCTTAACTCTTTATTGTGTTTTAAATTACTTAGAACGGTTTGCTTTCTTCTTCTTTTCAGATCCCATTGACTCAACTAAATGATTACAAAATTCATCGCTTTCTTCACTATCAGTAAATAATATTTCATTTTATCTAAGTATCATCTTTTGAAACCTTTATAAGTTGCATAACTTTTAATTAAATATCTGGTGGGTCGCCATTTTTTGTTATCGTAAATGCTTGTTTTTTGTTTGTAGATTCAAAGCATTTCTATAAGTAAACAAACATCTTTAAATATCTTCTAATCCGATCAAATAAAAGAAACATTCAACAATTTATATTAAGTTTTATTGATATAAGACTAAATATTCATTTCTTCATTATTTGTTTGTTTGATATTTAAGCTGCAGTTCATTAATTAAATTAATGGTTAACAATATTTATCAGAGTTACCCTGTCTTCTATTTAAGTAAATAAATAATATTTACTCAATATGTGGCTTTAAGGGTTCAAAGGTACTCAACATCTATCGTCATAAACGAGTTTCATTACGGTTCTTGTTATACTTAGGCGACTATCGTATGGGATCAACAGTTGATTAAAATAAAATCTAAATACATGAACTTATTAAACTTTAGAAAGGTTTCTTTTTAAATTAACATCAAATAATTGGCACTTTTTACACAATTAATAAGAGTTAAATAGCGGCGAATGTGAATTAGGAAGTCGACATATTTGAGCGTCTGAATGATTAGTTAGGAAAAAGTTTAAACTACTTCCGAAATTTACTTCTAAATTTTCTTTTAGATATTTTCACCAAAATGCAAAAAGAATTTACTTTGATTTAGTTTTTGATAGAGCGAAATCATTATTTTTACAATTAACAAGTGCTTTTAAATGTTTTATCGTTCATTAGAACTATTGCGTTGATACTTGCAGGTTCAGCATGAAACACTGCATCATTACATTGCAAAATGATTAAGCTATCTAAGAATTGTGGAAATTTACTTTTATCATCAATCAAAATTTTCGTGTGATTTCTTTTTGTCTTTCTTTTCCAAAGCTATCGGAAAAAGCTCAAAATTTTTAGATTATCAATTTTCTTTATTTCTTAAATTGAAACAAGTCAATAAGTTGAGAAAAGAGAAACTTTAGCTTCTACAAAGATACAATTATTAATTATTTTACTATATATTTTTTTGCCAATTTTATTTTCTTTTTTAGTTATTAAGTTTCGAAACTTAATTATTTTTAATTGAAGATAGTAGTTTAAGATACAATTTTTTTACTTCTTTTCATGAATGATTAAGTGTTATGCAAGAATATAATTTCTAAATTCGATTGAATAGGAAAATTTTTCAATTTTGCTTGCATTTAAAAGATTTTCAAAGTAAAGAAGCAGCAATTACTCGCTCAGAATCCTTTCATAATAAATTAAAATTATTTCACATCGTCTCTGATCATTCTTAAGTCACAAAAAGCTCTTTTTTCAAATCTGAAAACTTAAAAAAAAATACTGAATTAAATTCAAATATTTTATACAATGTCGATTATCACAAACATGGCGTTAAATTGCCTTCAATGCTGATGAGAATTGGATTATTCTTTATTTTTTTTTGGAAATTTGATCCTTACAATCTTACATTATTATAAGGTCAACTTTCAAAAAACTTTCTTTTAATGTATTTAAATGAAATCCATCTCACGTCTTTCAATCTGAAGAAACTCTTCTATCTTCACCATCCTGAATTACTTTCATTAGCTCATATTTTATTCATTCATAAACTCAGCCATAGTTGCTTATGTTTTAATTACTTTAGATCTTTCACTGTTTATCGTAATTCATTAACGAAATTCATAAGAATTATTTATCAACTAATTTATTTTCCAACTACTCTCTCTTGGATTAATAAACTTAACTAGTTTTGAGTTTAATGCTTACGATCAGGATATCCTTCGTCTCTTTCTTCATCTTTATCTATTTACTCATGTAACTTCTCTTTAAGTATTTTTTATGATTTATTTAACAACTACGAAAATATATTTATACTGTTTTGCGTAAAAATCAAACACATTTTGCTATTTACTGCCACTGTTGGTGCTTTTCTTTTGTTTTTCGTAATGAATATGATTAAATGACGAGCGCTGACAAGTATTAAGACGCAAAAGCATTGCTGTTGAAAGGTTGGAAGTAATGAAGACCATTTGTGGCCATATCGTATTCACTATGCAAAGGAAAACAAAAAGATAAAGATTTAAGAGCATTTAAAAGACAAAAAATATTTGAAAGTACCTTATATAAGCTGGAATTTCTAATTGATCTTTACAAATGACTGAATAAAGATGTTCAACACCAGGCAACGAATGAACTTTATGTTTAATTGCTGGTGCCATGAATGTTGTAAACCACCAAGTCATCATTTTCGTCCAAAATGTTGGATGTACAATATAAAATGCTTTCAGATTCTTTTTATATCTAAAAACGATAAAATCAAAAATTCGTCACATAAATTTGCATGATAAATATTTAATTATAATTACTTGTATGGTAAGATGCTGTAGACTTCTTTAAGCCAATTAAGCGAAGGATAATTGTTTGTTGATGTTAATGTGTGGAAATACGCAATAACATAATCGCCTTTGACCAAGGGATCCAATAACTGTATCAAATATAACAATGCCTGGAAGAAGAAAGAAGAAAAAATTGAGTTCCAATAACTTATGGCAGCAGACTTGATTTGTAAAACCTAAGTCTACAGTCTTAAAATGAACATTTACCTTTTCTAAATCTATTTCATGTGCAGGAAACCATTTTCCACAGAAAACAATAACAGGTCGACCAAGACGATCAAAGCCGCTTTGGTATAAACAACCAATGCCTGATACTTCAGATAAATCCTCGGTACGTGAGCGTCTCAATAATCTCTCGTATCTGTGACACAAAAATAAAAAGAAATATTGAAGAAAAAAATTAGAAAAAAATGTCACGTAAACAAAGCAGTCTTAATTGTTAGCGATATTGATATAAAACATTTCTTATGACTTCTAAAACATTTTAATTTTCATCGTGCTTAAAGTTGTGACTCAAACTAATAATGTTATCGTGCAAATATTTATTTCAAAGTCACAAAATAAATTTACTCAAAGGCGTTAAATTCTATTTCTTTTTGATAATTTCTTATAATGACTAAGGTGTCGTAACCTAAAGAATTATAATTACGGTTGTTATTAATCCAAGCTTTATATATACTTTTAGTTGAATTATTTTCGTCTTTTATATTTCTTTCTTATTGTACCGAGCGATGCCATGAACTACTTGTGCAAGTCGGAAGCATAAGAAAGCAATGAAGACGAAGTTGTTAAAAATAAAACAATAGTTTGTTGTTGAAAGTAACGTTTCTCTTATACATAGACGACAAATCGATAAATTGCATGAAAAGGAAAAATTTATAAATAAATTATGAATTAAGGAAGGTTTCAGGTTGTAGATACATTTATTGGTTATTGTCGTTATCATGATGAAAGAACGTAATAAATATTCGATCTAGATGTTCTTTCTTACTCTCCATGTTGATTTTATATTAATCTTCCGGTCAAAATCACTCAGTTTTCACTCTTTGTCTGCTTTTATGACTTGAAAAAATGAGGAAGAAGAAAAGCTTAATGTCATTAAAGTGTCGAAAAGCTTCATGCTTTCCACTTCTTTTCTTGTCTATTTTCCGCTCTGAGTGTCTAACAAACAATGTGATTTCTTTTTTCTTGTGTTCATGCCTTAGAAATGAAACCTTTGTTTGAGATTATGTCATGGCAATCATTTTTAATACAAGAACATAAACGCCATGAAAAGGAAAACTCAAATCTACCTCAACTCATGAATAATTTGTGTTTGCTTTTATAAAATTCTTTTCGGTAAAAGCTTCGTTTTAAAGTTTTATGATGCTGCATCATGACGGAAAATCTACAAACAATACAAATGATGATAAGATAAAAAACTGACGCATTCTGACAAGAATAACTTGTGATCTGTAATAATATTTGCATGGAATTGGATAAATGATTCACTGCCTTCGTCTCACACCTTGAATAATTAATTATAGACAAATAATTACGTAAATTATTAATTCAAACGCTTAAAAGGTGAAGCATTTAAACAGCTGGTGTAATCGACACTTGTTTATGATTTGCTTTCGTAAATATTCCCACCAAAAATTAATTTTCTTCAGCGTTTCCCTCTCAGACTTATTTACGATACGCTTCAAGCTGTTACGATATCACCGAACAACCTTCAAAATTGAAAATTCTATATTTAATTTTTTAAACACAAGAACAGCTATTTGTGGTAAATTGGAAAGTTTCATCGATAAAATTCATTTATCATTCGCTCAGATAATCGAAAATAAAAGAAAAACAAACAAAAGTTGAGTTTCACTTGAACGCGGTTTTTGTTTTACTTTCTTTCTGCCATTGCAATTTTTATTATTTCTTTCATAAGAATACACTTCCAGTTATTTTCTTTTCCACAGACAGCAAGCTCGCAAAAATAATTTTCTTTTTATCTTCACTCTTCAAACTTTTCTTTCTCTCCTTCATATTCTTATGTTGTCATAAAAGTTCGTTAGCAATCAAATCCCTTTTGATAAAATCAATTTTCTCTTCTAAACGCTCCTAAGCTGCTTAAATCAGAAGCACAAAAGTAATGACAGTCGAGGGAGAAATCATTAAATATCCAACTGAATTGTTGTAAGAATTGATGGAATTTCGATAACGTTTTGGGTCATAGAATTCAATTAATTATAATCGTGAACATTTTGGGCTCTTCTCACAATTGATTAGAGAATAATTCATCATTTTGAACCTTTTTTTTTTCTTAAAGCGAAGGGAGAAATATTAACTCAGTTTTCATCTCGTCTTCCCACGTCCGACGTAAACAAAAAATGATTTTTCTAAATATAGACAAGACGTCAATGAAAAATACGCAGTCAAGAATCAAAAACAACGTAATTGAAACATATTAAACTAGAATGAACGCCAAATTCAGTTTCACAATCGAGATCAGGAAGTTGAAAGCATTGTCGTACGGTTTTTATTTGCTGTTTTGACTGTTTCGTGTGAACCAAAACTTATTGTGTTTGTCTATCTCACCATGTTGCTATTTCTTCGTTTATTTAATAAAATTTTGTTGTCGAATTTTTCAGTTAAACATTTTTAACAGATAAGTTTACAAATCGTCAGCTGTTGACGAATAAAAAAAAATGCTTTAAAATTTATAACTCTCAATTAACAGATGATGATAAATGATTCATCTTTCTTTCGTGCTTTTATTTTGTAATCAATCATTTGGATGAGTCATTAAATAATATTTTAAAAGCTATTTCGTTAAATTTCCAACTTTCTAATCACCTTTCTTCCGATTCTTCAATGTGAATTTGTTCTAAAGACACTGGTGCTTTAACATTATTGTCACTTGGCGGTTGAATTGCACCTGAGATATCATTTAAGTCAATAGATTCCATCGTCATCATTTTTCTTAATTTTCACTTTTCGCAAATATATTTTCTTAATATTTGTACGCGGTCTAATTTCTTTTTCTTGTTTTTGGTCCCAAATATAAATAACCAGAAGGTTTAAGATTATCTTCTCTTGTTTGTTTTTAAATATTCTTTTTTTCTATACGAATGGAAATTTAACTCATCCGAATGATTTGAGATTCTACGATGAACTAAACGCCTCTTGAAGTCGAAAGTGAATTACTCAAAATGTTTTTTCCTCGATCTATCAAGGGGTAGTTCATCGTTGTGCTTGGAAAATTGCCATGTTTATGAAAAAGCTCTATTGCCTTCTGAAGCATTATTTAGAGGCAGCCGGCAAGAGCACTACGATGAATTACCCCTTGCGTTTTTTTACAAAGGCAGAGAGAAGAGAAAACTCGAGAGTTTGATTGAATTTTTTACGCTTCAACAAGTTTCACAGTGAAACGGGGAAGAAACAATGTGAATTTTACAGCACAATAACATGAAATATCGAATGAAATTTAATAAAATAGAAGCAGCTTTTTTTACATTTTTTTGTTGTTTTATTAAGAAATTTTTCAAATGAATTTTTGATCATAAATTTTCGTCGATGGTTTCTTTTCAATTTTTTAAACCCTTGAGGAAAGCTTTTCCGATTGTGTAAAATTTCATTCTCTCGCAATTTTCTCTCTCGTTATTTTCTCTCTCATCTTGTCTCTCATAAATTTTCTCAACTTTTTAAGGACATGAAAAATTGTGAAAAATGAAGTGAAAAAGCTTACAATCGATAAAAAAATAAGAAAGTTTCAGATCACTGACATCAAATGATGTTTTCCTTTTTATAACGTGAAAAGATGAATGAAAAGTTCAATAATTGTACATTTCGTTTTCATTGAAAAGCTTGAACAACGCCATAGATTTTAATGAATTCATGCTCTTTTTAAATTAATTGTAATGAATTAGCCTTACATATTTTGTCTAAATACCTTGTCTTTACTAATTAATGTAAAGAAAAGTAATTTGGTAATATATAATCGAGCCTAATATTTAAACAAAGCAATGATCTAATCTATTTTCTGCATTAGTTTGTACAGAAATTATTTAATCTTGCTATGGACTTCAAGACTCAAAGTAATACAATTTTTATGACATTCAACAACTCTAAATAGCCTGCAATTTCTTTCAAGATTATTTGTTACTTTTGTTGAAAGTTTACTAGTTTTTTATGGTCTGAATCACAAATAAAAAATTGTCGTCTGAAGATAAAATATCAACTTGTTTGCTTTTAATAGTTTACGACCTTGCTCTTACTAAATTTCTCAGTCTTTATCTAAAATGTGTATCAGTATTACGAATTAGCTTTGTTAACTTCAATGAAGATGAAAATCATCAAGGAAATTGTAAGCAATTCTTTGCACTATAAGTTTTGATGGAAAGAAAATATTCAACAATGAAAATTCCGCTTCGCAACACAAAGAATGAAGACGAGAGAAAGAAAATGAAAATAAGACTTGCAATTAATCTTGAGATGAAAAATCAACAGCAATTAGCATTCAATGGAGCTTTACATGGTACAAAATAATTCCAAATCTAGATTTAGCCAACTAAAAAGCTTTAAAGTTTCTTATTACTGTCAACAAACAATAAATTTGTTTATCTTCGAAGGAAAATCTTTTATTCTGCTGCTTGCCAATACTCACTCGGTTTCCAATAAGAGTGGCAAACTAAACAAAAAAGTTTTGTTCAATCTCTAAATGTTTATTTATCATTTATGAAGCATTAGAAGTTTTCGAGTCATTCTCTACTTGTTATCATGAAATTCGTATGCAAAGTTGTGAATCAGTAAAGAATATATTTATAAATACTCAATTTAGAACTTTAAAAATCTCGTTATGATAAATGAAAAGCAGAAATTTAAAGTAAATAAAGTAAACTTTTTAACAACTAGTGAAAATAAAACTTTTGAGAAATTTTCATTTTAATCATATGAAAATATTCTAAGCACATGAATTTTCCAAGAGAACGGATTTTCCTTCAATCAAGGTCGCACATTTAATCAATGAAAGTGCTTTAATCAATACGTCATCAGACAAGAGAAGAACAGACAAGGTTAAAGCTTCAAACAATCGAATCGAAGGCAAACATTGTTCACTTATGCAAAGCAACTTTCTCCTCTCCTTAAAACCAAAAAAAAAACTATTTACACACGTTCTCATACAACTTCCCACGTTAACCACTTGAATTCGTGTAATCGATAATTTTATTAGGACCCTCAAGAGGAGCATTGAAACACCAAACCTTAAAAATTCTTTACGCTCACAACTCATGACGTCATTTGATATTTGAAAAGTAAGAAGAAATATTAGTCATGACTGAGCACAATTACTTTCCTTACTCTCATCCATTGATTACAAATTAATGATGAGTGGAAGTTTGGTGTTGTAAATATATTTGTAGCGTGACGTTATTTGAACGACAAAAAATGTTTGATTACAACGATGAACTTTTAACTTCCTTTGATGGAGAAAGAAATTTATTAAATACAATAACCATTGCTGAAGAAATGCCAATCATAGTATGTGCTTTTTATAGAATTATCGTGAAGTTAAATGTTACGAGATATTTTTAGAAGTTTTTTAAATTGACTTTGATATGAAATGAAGCACAATTCCAACATTCTAGAAAGTTTTGAATCCAGTTCAAAATTTTCAACAAAAGAAGATATAAAAACAATTTATGTTCATTAGTTACTTCCGTCCGAGTTATGTTGAAATCATTAAAGCATAAATCAAATATTTCTTTTCGCTTTTATGATTCGAAGATATTTTGTGATTTCATTTTTTGCACATAACTTCATTTACTAAGAGATTTTTGGTAATTTGCAAACTTTGCTTTGAGCAAACAAAAGTGACTTTGTCAAAGTAGATAAGAATCTTTCATTTATATCTCATAAACAATGATAACTTAATTTATTCGAATCAAGAGTCAGCAGCAATAAAATCTTATGGCAATAGACGCAAATTCTGTATCGTTCACTAACACTTTCACAAATATTTGTTCGATTCACTTGACAAAGTTTCACAGTTGCTTTCTGTTGTTCTTTTACTTAGAATTAAAGCTTACCGTTCCTGATGTTCAATGCCTTCTAATCCATCTTCTAAAACACTTTCATAGACACCATCACGATGTCGGTCGCCAAGCAAACGTTGTCGGTCTAGATCACCCTAGAAATATTAAATAAAATCAAATTAAACTAAGCACTTTAAAAAGTTTTCTTGCTAGTGAAATATTGATCACATTTTCAATATCAAATGTTCCATAACCGCCCGTCATGTCGCTTGAACTGTAACTCTTTATAATCTTGTAATAATTTTTATCTCTTAAAAGATGAAAGTAAATATTAATGTTTTTTTTTGTCTATCTCAAATCTTCTTCCTTTGTTTCAACAGAGAGTTTATAGATTAGTGAATAATTTTTTGAAGATGTGAAGTTAAACGACAAGCTCATTTGCTTATCAAATTACATTAGATTCAAGAGACTTTTCTGACCTGCATTTGAGTGAATGAATTGTGTCCTTTGAAGTGAAGCAAATCGTCATTTCCCGTCTCTAAATCAGAATTGTTGCCTTCAAAGTCATGTGGATTGTTGTCAGAATCGTCATCAGCTAAAAGTTGAAAATATGAATTTAATTATTTTATCCTAATTATGTTATCAACACAACAAAAAAACTTTTTAATTACACGAAAATTCAAATGAGTCGTTTATCATTTTTAATTAATGTCAGCAGTAAAATATGAATAACGCATGAGAAGAGTCAAATAATCTTAAATGCAACACTCTTTCTTTATTTTTAATTAAAAGTGATTGCTGCTGATATTTCCAACTGTTCACAACTCTCAAAATCTCTCAGCTCAACTGAAAGAAGACATCACAAATTATGAAAAAACGAAACAGCGGCACAGCAGAAATCTCTTATTATTTATTCTCTTTTTAGTGAAGCACAATGACTGAATACAAGTGAACGTTATATCTTTTGTTGCTTACTGCACAGAAGATAAGTGAGATGAAAAGTGGGTGAAAAGATGAGAACTGATTTGTTTACAAAAAAATATCTCGCAAAGATTCAACGCCTTTAACTGATCAAATCAATCGCTTAAATTAATCTTATTGGTAAAAATCTACGATTTATTTGGAACAAGATTTTCATCAATTTTTTTATTTTTTGATTTTCCCAAATGTGTTTTGCTGATTGCATACACTGAAGGAAAAAAAATGTTTTTTAATTTTTAATTATTAATTCCACTCACAATTCTCACAATAACTCTTTACATTATTCATTTCATTCATTCGATGCTTCGTGAGTTTTTTTAACGCTTTGATGTTATCAGACGATGCTACATTTACGATGCGTCACGCCCAAGCTAAACAAAAATGAACAATATTCGTCGATATTTCATAAGATTTATCGTTATCGCTTACGAACACAAAAGAAGAATTTCATTCAATTTTCATATTTTTTATCTCCAATTCGTTTTAGTTCACACTAATTATTTATGGTCAGTCATATCATAACTAGAATTTGCTCTAATTCTACTTTGTTCCTTATTCTTTGTAAATAGCCTGAATTATTTATCACGAAAGAAAGATAAACAAGTTTTCTTTACCTTTAACTTGCTTTGAGTTATTACTGTCAGTCATGCTTCCTAATTTACATAGATTATTTAAACTTTATGAAACGTTTTTTAAGATTCTTCGATATTTTCTTTGTTCTTTGCTTTCCCCTTAATGTGTTTGCTTTTAACTTATTTTATAATTCTCATGCACAGTTCATCGCGGTAATGAGACAACTAACGTTTCATTGTGCATTCGAATGTATTAATGCGCGTTGGTACGTAGTTTCAATTGTAAATTGATAACGATTTGTATGTTCCGATATAAATAATTTAATCCTACTTACACTAATGTAAGTTTCCCCTTTCGCATTAATTTTTTTCTCTTTCTTTTTCATTAAATATGTGTTTAAAGCTATGTTGAGCAAACACAAAGGAGTTTTATGCCATATTCTGTATGCAATTATTATTTCTGTCGTTCTATGTGCTAATTACAGTCGAGGCCTTTTAACAGTGAAATATGGATTGCAAACAAGAAAAAGTTAAGCGTGCAAGAATTATTTTGCGAATTTTAATCCGAACGAGCTTTTAACAACCTAAAAGCTCTACAAAAAAGCTTTCAATTTGTTACAATATGAATTTAGAAGGGCTTTTACTGTGACACACGACATGATTCCTGTAGAAATAGGGATTTTAAATAAACAACAATGAATCGCAAAAATTACTGTTTGGCATTCTGCAGTAATAACTACATCAAATATGCATTGAAGTTCATTTCTATTTTTTTATATTCACTCGATAAAGTTCTTTAATAAGTACTTTGTGGGGCTTCATAACCACTAATCGATAATTTTTATTTAGTTTACGTTTGGCGCCTTTCAGCTTTCTTGTCAATGGAATCAATGTCATTTATTATTTAGTTTTTCCAACTCTTTCAATCAAGATTTCATTTGAATGTTAAAAGCTTGTGGTCACAATTTCACAAAGCTATATGACTGTTTTGACTTGAAATTTATCTCATTTTCGTTTGAACTAATTTGTAAATGTCACTAACTTATCATCTCGTTAGATTTACATTCACAACTTGATTTATTGTGATGTTTTTAAAGAAATATTTAGGTTAAAAAACTTATCTACTCACTTCCTAGCATCATGATGGTGTGTTGTGGATTCCTCGTGATTCTTATTTGACGATCAGTAATAGAAAGTTCACCAGTGATGTTTGAAATGTTCTTTGGCAATTGCCACAAAGCACTTGTCTCTTCAAGTTGATTACGAGGAAAGTAAAGCGGTGCTAAAACTTCATAAAGTCCACACTCGTTCTGTTCCAGACACAAAATGACGATTTCACGCTTATTGACTTCGAGAAACTTTCGAATTGTTCCTAAAATAGTAAATAAAATAGAAACTAGTTTCGGTAAAGTCAACAAAAAATGAAAGAAGAAAATTACTCAGAGCGATGTGCGCTTCTAAATCGGACGGAAAATTACGCTGAGCGACACTAATCGTACAAAGACCAATCGTTTGTAAACTTAATTCTTTTGCCTTATTCAGAACATTTCTGAAAAGAAGAAAAAACGAAACAACAAAAAATTAATTTAATAATTTATGACGTAAACGAACAAACAATTTTCATTCACCTATAACACGATTGCAATGTATTCTCGGCCCAAATTGATGCTGTTCGATTTTTTTGACTATAAATTGGACATACAGTGTGGATTAGGTAACGTGCTGGCAAGGAATGTCCTTTCGATACACGCACTTCTCCAATACGACAAACTGAAATGACGAAATATGATATTATCGGTTGTTTTGTGACTTAAATAGAAAATAAAATAAAAAAAGTGGAACAATTGGGGATTGTGTTTTGGTTATGAAAATCGCCGTCAAAAACTCTTTAATCATTGTGTCATTGTCGTCGCCAAACATTCTCCAAGTGACGTCATTCGATGAATATTTTCATGCTCGTGAAAAGATCATTAGCATTGATGAAAAAAGTTGAAATACTTAATAACAACTCACCCTTGATGAGTTTAAGCTCGTCTAACAAGTTCGCTCCGGCGCGATTAACAATGCGATCTGATACACTGTTGCGGTCATTCAGTCGCTCGTTTGTTGGATTCGTTATGCAGTCAGCATTCAGCAGTGAGATGTCACCTTCCCATACAATAAAGCGACCATTGATATCTTCACGATAGGGATATGGGCTATGATGACGTGTGAGTGGTGTGTAGACTGTTGGTGCAGTAAGCGATGACCGATTCAATTCACTCCAGCGCTTTAATGAGTTCAATGCTGTGTACTAAAGAAAGAACAAACATATTAGATTCGGTGGACTGAACAAAAGGTCGCTTTGTGTTAAGTAAATATACAAATTTTTAAACCAGTCACTTACTTGAATAAAATTTATAGGCTCAAAATGGTCATTTTTAATATCAGAGATAAGTCGCATCGCTTCTATAAATAGAAATTTAAAAAAAGAAACTATTAATAAAAATTCTTTTTATATCTTTAAAAGACTTTCAAATCGCAAAGCTTTCTTTAGAAAAGTTTATTAATTTGTTGATATTTTCCGACATATTCTTGTGCAGAAATGTTATTCGAAAAAATGTCGATTGATTATCCTTTGAACTCGTTTCTAAATGAATGTCTATGAAATGAAAATATATCAAGCTTTCAACTGTAATTAACATAAATACTAGCTTAAATTATTAATTAAATAATCACCTCATACTCGAATACTTTTTTTCTGTTCTTTTTTTCATTATCAATCGCATGTAATCATCTAACATGAAAACATAACATAAAATTTATTATGACTCATAATGAAAAATTCATTAAACTTGTCTCTGCAATTGATCCAATAATCTTCATGTCTAATTTAACATCATAAGAAAAATTCTACTTGATGTTTTATTAATTAAATGTGCGACAAAGTTCATAATCTCACCTTGTAGAAGGCGGAGAAGAGATTGACAATAAAGAATCGAAAATCCAAGGGTAAAACAACGTCAAAGAAGTTTAGTTAAAGCTCGATAAATCATGATTGATTAAACTGTTTCATAGCTAATGGGTTATAAAGAGTTCGATAATCGATTCATGAGACGATCATTACTCGGAATGAAAAAGCTTTCTTCTCCTTTTCCAAGCCTTCCGCATGTTTTTCAGACTTCTTCGTAAATGAAAAATCGATCAAATCGTTTGAAAAATTCTTTTTATTTCACTCGAACTTTGAATGTCCCACAAATTGTGGAACGAAACAAAATGTTTCGTGACGACCTTCGTCTGTCAGAAAAAAAGGAACTCTGAAACGCATCTGATTACCTCAATTTAACTTTGAGAATGTTTGATATGAAATGTGCGAGCTTTTGATATATTTTGGACTTCATTAATGCATTTGAATGTTAAATGCTTCAACTAAATGTTTATTAAAGCAGCGCATAAATTATTTCCTCACATTACCTATCCATTAAATTTCCATTTAACTTATTTGCGATTGTTGTTTCATGACAGAATTTAATTAATTTCTATTACATAAATTGAACATTGTATTCATTTTATTTCTCTATTGCCAATTGTTTGAGTTGATACACAAAAACAAAAAATGGAAGAGAGAAATGTTTTGTTTTGGAAATGAACGAAAGAAGTGGGCAAAAATTCAATTACTGACAACACTAGAAGAAAGGGAGTGTTGGGCTTGTACGAGATTCTAATCAACTTTTCTACATACAACGGCATATTCACTTTGCGCCAACAACCCAACCACCCACTCACACCTTTAAAATGTTCAACAATGTTCTGTTCTCGCTCTCCCAAGGAAACTCTTGCTTCTATTTAGATACTTAATTCTCTAAATTTATACCGACATTCAAGTCGCGTAGATAGTTCGTCTCGAAGGAGCTTTTGATTTATTTGCACTGACGAGCTACTGAAGTGAACAAAGGAATGTGATGATAGAGGAAAAGAGAAAGAAAGCAAGAAGCTTATTTATTCGTAATTGGCACACAACAGTTGCTGCTGTTGCATGTTTGCATATACTTTGAATGTGTCGGAAATAAAAAAATTGTCCGATTGTATCAGATACGAAAAATTAATGGAAATAATATTTTTCCTGCGCTTAAATGTTAATTTAGATTGCCCGCAAAATGGCTTCTTTTAGCATTAATTTATAATACATAATAACAAAATTATAAATAAGCTAACAATATAACATTACATGAAACAATTTGAAATACTATCTTCCAACTCAATACTTTGAGTTCTAATCATTTCATCGTTATTGTCTTCTACAGTTACAAACAATGAATCACGTTTGCCAATTGTTTCACAATTGACGTCATAAAGCTTGAAAGAAAAATCTTTGTAGAGATGAATGAATTATTTTTTCCGCAAATGATGTCAATCATCAAACGAAACTGAATGCTAAATTTTCTCAACAAATAAAAACTTGAAAGTTTAACAATCGAATGGTTGACTACCTAAATATAAATAAAACGATGTGAAACTGCAAATGATAAGTACTTGTGATGATTGTTTGGTCAACAGATAACGTAAATTAACTTACGTCACTTTTTTTTGATTTTGGAAATAAATTTGATTCGACTAAGAATTTGTGACATTTCATTGTATTTAATTTTGCGATGATGTTAATAAATTCAAAGTGATTATTACCCTTGAAGCTATTTCTACTGCTTGTTGAAGCAAAGTTCAAACAATGCAAATGCTACGTAAGCAAAAACCGAAAGTATAAGAATAAATCTGTTTGCTTTATCAGCAACAATTTATAATAAAATAAAAAATCTTGTTAAAAAATAAACAAAAAACGTTCAAAAAATGTTTTTGGAGTTGAAATATTTACCTTACGTCAACAAAAATTAAATCCATCTAGAATAAAGAACAAAAAGAAAACAAAACAAAATTAGATGCAAAATGATAAAAATAAAACTTAATTAAAGGTTGTGAAGGTGAAATGTTTAATCTTGAGAGGAATCCTAAGTGATTATTAAGTTGACTTAAGATTGTTTGTAAATTTCATTAAGTTTTATTATTTTTTGTCCTCGTCAAGTGGATATTAAAGAGAGTTTTACGTGCATTAACATATTTAAGCTTCATGCTGCAATAAAGCATTGTTATGTCACGTTTTTATGAGTGTAATTGATCTAGATCTGAATCTATGGAATTCCGTTTAGTAAATAGCTTAAATAGAACAAGATTCTAAGAAGACATAAAAAAATCATGAAACATAATTTAGAGCCATTAAATCTTCATAATAAATTTTGAATTAGTAAGAATTAATATTTAAAATTTAAACATTCTAAAAGCTCTTTATGGAATTGTTTGCTTTCTTAAGCGACATTGGATAAAGATAATTCTTTACTTTCATTTGTCTTCATCATCCTTTGACAGACAGAGCAAACTGATGTGTTATTCAGAAAGCTGAGCATGTTCACAAAAACAAGAAGGAGAAAGCTTATTGATGGAGAGGCAGAAGGCTTTAAGGCTTTTCATTTACACGAACTTGAACATCACTGAATCTGTAAAGCTTTTAATTATTCTCCAGATGGGATCTTCTTTCATGGAATGTTATGTCATGAAATTGTTTTTTTTAGGGTCTCGACGAGAGAAATATTTTAGACTGAAAGCTTTTAACTGACTTAAATAGTGAATTTATTTTCCTTGTTTATGAAAGTTTAAAGATATTTAAGCTACTTAATAATACAAGCGAGTGTTCTTTAGAAGTTCTCACAAAATCCAAAATCCATTACGAAAAATCCATCAAGTTACTCATTTCCTCGCAAATGATTAGCAAACTGATTAGGGTAGAGAAATAAAAAGAAAAACAACAAAATGAACTTTTCCCTTGTTAATAATCTTCCCTTTCTTTTATATTTATTATTTCAGTGATTTCTCTAATTTTAACCTGGAGAATCTTCATTTTTTCTTTAAAGAATACAAATAAAAAATATTTTATTAAAACACTCACTCAACAGACGTGTGAGCTTTAAACATTTCTATACACGTTTGTATTTATTTTCTGCAATTGAAACACGAAGTGTTAGTGTTATTCAAAATCTACCTCGAAAAATTCAGGGTCAACTTTAGGATTTTTACAGTAATTAACTTTGAAGCAATCTTCTTGTTGTTTATTATTTTTGGTTGTTTGTGTAGAAGTAGGTTGATTAATTTCATTTCACTTGAATGAATCACTCGCCATCTCTGTTTGTTTGCGTTTGAAAAACCTTGTTTTCTACTCGATGGCGTTTTGATGAAACTCGATAAGTTTACGTAATTTGCACAAACTCCAACAATATGACTAAATTTGTTAAACGAGTCTTCATTAAAGACCGGTTCACTCACTTAGTATGAATGTGAAAATTTCTTTAAATCTAATTTGAAGTTGAATCTTAGTCAAGTTAAAAATATTCATGAAACTTCATAATAAAATGTATTTTAGACAATTTAATTTATAAATTATGTTGTGCATTCATTAAAGTGCTATCAACATTTTCATAACAAAAACATAAAATTGAAAATCATGTTGAAATTTAAGTTTCATCAAAAAATTAAAGTTTCTCTCATATTTCTCCACCACTTAAACGAGATGAGAATTTCTTCCCATTTTTTTCATAACGCAAAAAGTCCCTAAATTTGATTAAAGCTTCTCTCAGCTTTTCTCTGTTTTGTGTTTTGTGTAGCGTTCAGCTGAGCAAATATTTTCCATCGCAAGAATTTTCTTTCTTTTTGATCTCAAATTTTTATCAAACTTACATTTTTCGTCGTGCCTCGAACTATAAATTTACTTTGTTGTAGTTTATATTTCTTTACTTCCTTATTACTTTCCTTGTAATGAGCTTGAAGAAAAGCTTGATTTACTTTTTTACACTATTTTTCTTCGCTTTTTTTTGTTGCGGTTATTGATTATTGAAAAGTCCTCTTACTGATTTCACTATTGGTGCTTTGGTTATGAGACTTTTGTTTTCAATCAACTTTACCAGTTTGCAACATGATTTATAACTTAATTCTAGCTTGTTCTCTTTTAAAATAGCTTAAGTCCCAAGAACAAACAAAAATTCAACACAACTCTTTGAGAAACTCTTAAAAACTAAAAAGTAAGAACGACAAATACATGAAATACGTCTCGTAGTGTAAAGCAAAATAAAGTTTGTAGAAAAATGTTTGTTAAAAGATTACCAACGTGGTATTTGCTATGTTAAGAGAGACATAAAATTT